AAATGAAACGCCAGTAAAGTGAAATGAGAGTCACTGATGATGATCAAACAATTCATCTTAATTGAACTACAGTTGTATTTCATGTTTTATTTTAAGTTTTGTTTATGGTTACATTGATTTATCCATCCAGTCATTAATTAGTTAATCCATTCATCATTAATATAACCAAACTATTAATTAAAAAAGATTGTGAATTACATTTTTTTTAAATCAGACAGTTTTTGTATTACCCTATTTGAAGACAACCTATGTGTTAACTTTCAACTATCTAAATCAATACCCTCCTAAACACACACTCTGCAAACATAGCCCGCATGATTCAGGATCCCATTTTCTTCACCATAGCTCTTGTGGAACCATGCCCCACTATCTACACAGGAAATCCAGTCCTTTGTGGCCTTGGGGTCACTTTTGGCTCAATAAGATGTTTTTCTAGGATTTGCAGGGGTGTTCATTTGATTGTTTTCAAGTGAACTGATTTTTTTCTTTTGCTTTTATTTCAGGGTTTACGTGTATGTTTACGTGTATGGTATTATTGTGCTCTTGGCTGGTGAGGTGGTAGGTGGGGGGTTTAGCTCACTTGCTGCTCCCTCTCTGTCTCTTTGGGGTTTGCATGAGATCCTTGAATGACATCAGTGGCTTTGTGGTCTTAATGATAAGAACAAACAAACAGGAAATTTGGGAAAAGGGGATTAGGAAAGAAGACTAAGAAGGCCTACAATTAACATAAAACTAATAGCAATTACTATTCTTGACAAAAGACATCTCTGATATTCCCATGTTGGCCTATATGGCTATGTGACTATGTACCTCAGAGGTCAATATCTTTAGAGGTGGATCGCTGCTCAATCTCCTCATCAATTCATGGCTATTCACCCATGTCCATTGTGCAGAAAGTTGGGCTTGAACATTGCTTGTTTTTGGTGAACAGTGAACTGATGCTCACGCAACAGAAACTGGCGGTAATGCACCAAAAAGCTATTTGCAAACGACTATAATCAGAAGAACCCGTGGCACCTGGGGATTTACGGCACCTAGCATTCATCTGGCATTGCTAGTGCTGGCAATCATTGTGGATAGGGGAACACTGATTTTGTGATTCTATGAACATATACATTTATGTGGCAATGATAGGTGCTGGGAATCGACATGTAGATGGAGGTTCTGTGAAAAAAGAATAGCTCAAAGCAGTTCATTTAAAAAAAAAAAAACAAAAAAAAAACAAACAAAAAACATCAGAACTGAACATGACCTAGTTTAGTTTTTTGATCTGAGAACTTGATTCTCATGTTCTCGAGGCCTCGTTGATCTCAGATTGTGTGATGTAAAGGACATTTGCAGCAAAAATACAGTAAGTTTGTGGTGATTGGCTGCTAATATTTTAAGGAGCTCAAGATGTGAAAGCTTATTTGTCCCATTTTACCTGACATCCCAAATAACATGACTTTACCCTATAGTTGAAAATACAGAATCGGGGCATCGTGTGGCGTAGTGGTCTAAGCAGGCGCCCCATATGTAGAGGCTACAGTCCTCGCTGCAGTTGGCCCCGGTTCGAGACGGCCTTTGCTGCATGTCATTCCCCCTCTCTCTGCCTCCCCATTTCCTGTCTCTCTCTACTGCACTATCAATAAAGGCATAAAAAGCCCCAAAAAAAAAGAAAAAAAGAAAATACAGAATCAGGTCAAGAATGAGAAGGCCTTATTGATGGTACTATACTGTAGTGTCATTTAGATTTGTGCATTTTCAAGAAGAAAAGAAAACACAGTATGAGGGCAGCCTAATCTGTAAGACAAAGCAAGTTGACATTTTTGTGTGTGTGTGTGTTTGTGTGAGTTTGCCCGCAAGGAAAAGATAAGAAGCTGCTGACAGACACAAATACAGCCTTATAAGAATGATGAGTTCAAACAAATAACATACCCTCTCTCTCTCATGACCTTCTCTCTCTCTTTTCTGATTGATCTGCCTTCCCCTATAGTCTTTCTCCCTCTCTCTGTATTTACTTATTTTTTTTAACCTTAATCTTGATTCTGCTCACTGTTGGTCTCGCTTTATGTTTCATATTCCATCTTTCTCATCTCCATGGGGACTTTCTCTCAGTATATTTTAAAAGTAGCCAGTGGTCAACTAATGGATGAATGGGTGGATAGATGGATGGATGGATGAATGGATGGATGGACAAATAACTGGCTAGTTGTCAGCCTGTATGTGACTGCCTGTATGAGAGAGACTGCTGCGTAATGATAACAGCACAGGAAGGGTTGCCACAGCAACCAGTGGGACAGGAAACAGCCTTGAAAGATAAAGAAAAGGGCTTCAATGAAAAGGCATGTAATATTTTCAGGGACAGTGACCCCCTTTCGATATAATTTGATCATTGTAATCATGATCTTTTAAACTAGCTAATGCTGCACAATGTCATATGGGAGTTAGAGTAATAAAGAGTGTCTGATTTGAAAGTGGGTTTTACATCAATGTCCATGTTGTAATTATGACTCTATTTTTATCAAATTCTCCATATATCCAACTTGGGGATTAATAATACAGAAGTACCTCAAAAAGTAAAGAATGTGGGTGCTTCCTATCAGCTAGAATTCTTAATTTAAAGTAATCAAACCCAAATTTAATAGATGTGATATTGTATTGTCAGTGCATTGCTGTTAGACATGCTAGCAGTGTTGCTTTATGGGTGACAATGTCGGTCTTCCTGTCCACCACTTTGGTCCAGACTGAAATATCTCAACAACTATTGGAAGGGTTGCCATCATTTATTTTTTTTTCAGACATCCATGTTTCCCAGAGGAGGAAGCTTTTCTAACATGGTGATTTCCTGAATTTTCACCTTACTGCCACTATCTGGTTGATATTTATGTTCTGTAGTCAAATTTATCAAAAACTGCAGGTTGGATTGTCATGCAATGTGGTACAGATATCATCTAAGTGCCCTAATAACTTTGGCGGTGCCTTTTCATCGAGTCATGATTACGTCAAAATTTGAATTTGTCCAGTAGTGGTTTTTGACCAATTTCCTTCAAATCCTTAAAAATGCAGCATGTTAACAGTGTAATTGCGAGCATTTTAGCCTGTTGATATTAGAACTTAGGTTAAAGCACTGTTGTGCCAAAGTACATCCCCCCAAAGCTGCTAGCCTGGGTGTCCGGAAGTCTCTCCCACAGCAAACTATGTAATCATACAACCATCTTCAGTTACTGGTTCCAATGGCAATGCTGGCAAGTTGGAAAAAAATGAGAATCTGTCCCATCTCCAGTTGCTGCCAACAACTCGAATATTTCTCAGCAATTTCACATGGGTGTGGTGTGTTCTTCATGGCTGTTTTTCAGTTTGGAAAAACAACGAAGCCAGTTAGATATTTATAGGCAGTTGTAGGAAAAGCGACGTAATCTACATGTGTCAGAGAAATGGCCGCAAAAATTGGAAATGAATGTAGATGAAACAGACACAGATATGGAGATATGTTGTTCTAAGTCAACTTAACTTTCAGTAATGTTAACTGGATGGATCAGTCATTTGCTACTGATCAGTTTAGGCAGAATAACCCTGCTCACAAACAGGAAAATAGCAACATGGGCACAAAGTCGGACTGAATGACGAATTGAAAATAAGATCACTATTTGGTCTGATTTCTTTTCCCATGTGGCTCGACTGGTGCCGAGTCACAAGATCGGAGCATTGTAAAGGTGCTGCTGCAAACAAGAGGTGAAAGACTGATCGGTAGACATTTGCCTGGTGCAATTATGTGACCTGCCCTGCGCTTAGTGCTGATACAGTGCTCTTGAAAGCATGTGTGGTTTCCATGGTGGCCTGTGTGCCCTGTTTGTTGTGTGAAAGAATGTATCTGAACGCAGCAGAGCCAGAACGACAATCTCACTGTCATTGAGCTTCATTCAAACTCTTCTTCTGGCTCTGTGTGCTTGTTTTCACACTTAGTCACATTCCTCTGTTTTTCCCTATATCTCTTTTTCAGTGAGGTATTCACTGAAACATAACACATTTCCTATTACACTCCACAGTTGATCAAACAAGCCATTGTTCCAAATCATATAAAAGCCATGTATAGTCAAATGTCTCATTAAAACATTTTTTGGTGGAGAAAAAAATCAAAGCACTGGAGGCAGTGATGCTAGAAATACTTTATTTATCAAAACCAACCAGCTGATATTTTTAATAAAACAACAGAGAAAACACAATAAATTATGTAAAGAAAGCATACAGTTTCATCATGAATATTTTTCTGAATACAGCAAAGGCAGGTTGACTTGTTTTTATGTTTTTTTTTGTTGTTTTTTTTTTTTTTTGTTAAAACTAAAATCAACTTTTCTCAGACTTGAATATGACAGTAGAACCATTTAAATCCTCTGAGAATCTGAAACTCCAGGCCAAAGTTTATTGAACGTATGATAATCTGAAATATCCTCAATGGTCTAATGTGTGGTTATAATGTTCTTAGATGAAGTGAATGGACCAAAAAAAAAAAATAATAATAATCAAAGCAATTACACAAGCAGGTTTACATGTCTGATGTTGAAATACATGTGGTTCTATTGTGAAGAACTGCAAGACGAAACTAAGCAGTTACCCAGAAATGGAGGAATGTCACTTTGGAGCACACAACGAAATGTGCTGATAACGCCGGCAAACAGGCAGACACAGGATGCACACACACCCCTCATATACATTTATAATGCATAAATTTGCAATATATCTCCTTTTGGCAGCAGATTTCATAAAAGACCTAAGATAGTTGTTGGAAGAGTAACTATACACTTTACAGCAAAGCATCTTAGAAAATGACACATTACGTAATCACCATCTGGCTCGTTAGCTACTGAAAATACAACACTGTGTGGTGTGTGTGCGCGTGTGTGCGTGCGTGCGCGTGCATGCGTGTGTGTGTGTGTTTGCGTGCATGCGCGTGCATGCGTGTGTGTGTGCGTGCGTGCGCGTGCATGCGTGTGTGTGTGTGGTTGCGTGCATGCGCGTGCGTGCATGCGTGTGTGTGTGCGTGCGTGCGCCTGTGCGTGTGCATGTCAGCGAATGGTGTCTGGGATAAATTACTTGGAACTTGACTATCACATAACCCAACACACTTTGTGAATATTTAAGAGTGTTTTGTATCCCATACCTGCCAAACATCATCTATGACTTGCAGTACACGTGCACATAAAAGCACACAGCTGATTGGGTTTCACTGTGACCGTGTAAATCATCTCAGTGTCCAGTTATTCTTTTTTGTCTGTCTTTTGAACAAAAGTAGTGTGTCAAACCCCATTTTTCTTTGCGTGTAGTATATGGGAGGTGATGATGGAGAGATGACAGATGAGACTGTCTTTTATTTCTCACAGCTGGGTCGTGTGTATGGAAATGAAAAGCAGTTAGTTTGAATTCTTGGTCTATTGCTTTGATACTCTGGCTATCTACACACACACAACACACAGAGACACACACACACACACACACACACACACACACACACACACACACACACACTCGCATGCACAGTCACATGCTGAGGATTCACATGCTTGTATCTGCTGCCAGCTCTCACAGACTGTTGGTAACCCTCCACCCCTTAAAACAAAGGGACCTCTTCCTGAGCGGTTACAGGCATACTGAGACACACACACACACACACACACACACACACACACACACACACACACACACACAGTATCGGTGGTATTTTCAGCATTGACCAAGAGCTTTCCTCTATTTCCCACAGATCTGCTGCAGACATGCCGAGCAGAAGGTCAGATTGTGATATGTATGAGCATCTTCATGAGAAAGAAAAAAAAAAAAATGCTCACTAGAAAAGCAGCACATGCTGATTGAAACTGCTGAAGGAGCAGCAATCTTTTCTACGTTATATCTTCGAAAGTGGTTCCTCTCTCAGCTCTCATCCAGGAGTGCTGGTAATCTACGAATAGGCAGCTTGATTGTCCCTTTTCTGTCAGTCACCTCCTTAAAAATAATAAAAAAAAAACTTCCTCTCCATCCCTCTTCCTGAGTGTCTTTCCTCTGTTACGTGTTTAGGGTCTGAAGTTCAGGGTTTTATCCGCGTTAGCAGAATTCCGGTTAGCAGTTGGAATGCCAGGAATGTTCAGAAAAATGGGCAGAGCGGCAGAGCGCAGCGGCCTGATCTGACATCTCCTTTGATGTGTTAGCGAGTGAGTGATGAGGAGTGTGTGTGTTAGAGATGGAGTCACTGAGAGAGAAAGAAAAGGAGCGGGGAGCATATGGATTGAGGTACAGACAAAGGGAATCGTGAATATATTCAGACAGGGATGTGTGCAAAACAAAGGAGCCCTTCACTGAAAAATAGAGCAGTGAAGAATTCAGCATAAATAACTACCGTTTTTGTAGGAGTGGAAGCCTAAAGTGAGCGTGTGTGAGTGTTAGTGAGCATTTCAGATCTGGAGGGTTGTGGCTAGCCTAATTTCACATCAAGATAAAGTGTTATTTTGGTTTACACTTCCTCCAACCCCTCTCCCTCCTTCCTTCTGTCTCACACTCACTCATCTCAGCGTGCTGCTGGCAGAAGAGGAGCTAGAAGTTTCTAGAAACAGTCTTAATATAACAGAAAGAGACGCATAGACATACATGTGAAATAGCTGTTTACGAAGCAGTCTGACTCAATTCTATTTCAATTCTGTCAAGTTGACATCCATGGAACTCCCTTCATCAAAATGCAGTGTTTCCCACACATAGACTTGCCGGGCTGCTCAGGTATATTAACGGCTGCCCAAGTATATTTGGTGACCATTTTAGCACTAGCATTTTTTGTTGTTCTTATTAAGCCATCCATGACAAGATAATCTCCCCTCGGTCTACCACGCCTGCCCACACCTGTTCTTTAGCACGCCACAGTCTAATTTGTGTGTAAAACATTTTTACACTTCTCACAATAACATAAAAGATCTCTGCCGCAGTGTTTTTTGCCACTGTTTCATTGGGGAGCTGTGAGCCCCTCCTAGTGTGAGCGGGAACGCCCCCATGCCACAATCTAAGTCTGTGGGAAAGGCTGCTACTGTAAAAGTAAGTTCAATAAAATGTTGGTGTTATGTGGTAATTTTGTCTTTTGTATTCCAAATGGTTTTCAGTATTTAATTTTTGGAGGAAAAAGCTTTGATTGAATTGAAAGCGAATTCCTATGGAGAAGGTCCACTGTTATTGTAACATGCCATGGTTCACAAGTAATGTGTAAATTTGGTCGTAATGGTTAAGATTTAACTCCAAGTTGCAGGAAAGTTGAATAACCAATATGTTTGGCCGGAAATATGTTGGTTTAAGTTTGGCCTGTGTACAGAGGAAAATAGGTGGTTTACTTGCAAGAAAAAAATGTCATTGTGTGTGAATGAGCTGCGGTTTGTCAGTCAGATTGTTGCTTTTTTCTTTGCTGCATGTGTCTGCGTTGCTGTTATTATATGAAGTCTTTTGCAAAATAGATAAAAAAAAAACTTGTTCAACAGTTCAAGATGCATGTGCCAGTCTTGAGAGCCTCAGCGAGGGGGCTGGGAAGGACATGCACACTCACACGTTTCATGGTGTGTGAGGAAGATCTCATCTATGACCCAACGCACCTGCGGCCTCCGATGGCGTTGATGCAGAGTGACCTCTGGGGCGTACTTCAGCACCTAAAGAGACAGAGTTAAGACAAAATGGATGAAGAGATAGAAGCACACAATTTGCTCTCTGACTTTGCTAGTAAGTGTTAGTAGTCATGATACCAATAAACGCTCTTTGAATGTAAAAGAGTACAAGACATGCGGAATGCAGAGAAGATAACACGTCTAATGTTAAGTCTTTTTAAAGGACATCATTCATGACAAAACACTGCTGGAGTTCAACCGAAAAGAGAAACATTGAAGCGATTTAGGGAAGTCAAAATATAGATTAGATAGTTAATGCAAGGTTTCTAAGAAAGTAGTAGTGTAGAGAGAAACTCTGGAACTCATGAGAAAACAATTACGTGTCCACTCTTCCCCTTATTAATCATAACTGAGTACACAGGAATCCCTGTATGATTTTAAAATTAATTCATTTATCATCTCTTATTTGTTTTCAAGGTAACTGAGAGCTGGAGCCCTTCCCAGAAAAGATATATCCAGATATGTACATATCCAAGTAGCCAAAGGAGTCACTACAAGTCTGAAAGAGTGCTATAGAATGGATTTCATTGTTACATTTTGTCAACATTTGACTTTTATTACTGACTTTGCTGCGGATTGCCACATTGTTCTCAGGTGCCACTTCTGATGTGAGAACAGAGAGGAAGTACAAATTGTTCCACAACTGATGCACTGAGTTTTGTTCTCCAAAGCCCATGATTGATGTCAGGACTTCCCAGCACTGAAACAATGGTCTTGAGTAATAATGTGTTCCTTTAGAAGCTAAGTCACCGAAGGAAAGACTTACAGGTCTATGACTGCCTGCAAGGAGAGAAACAAGAAAACAAAAAACAGAACCACACATGTAGGCAGTTGTATGCATGTGGAGCATGTACAGACACAGACGAACTGTTTTCATGCTCTCATACACAGTGATTTACATACACACTCAGATACACATAGCACAATTACAGCCCAAATCCTACTTTTGTCTAAATTCCTGTTGTATGATTTTTAACAGAGAGGGACAGAGAGAGAGAGAGGGAGAGAGCCCTATGGACCATGTTTCAATAATGAAGCTATACAAGAACAAAGACACAAAGAGATGGAGGGAAGAGAGAGAAAAGAATGAATGACAGGCTTAAAGAACAAGAATGGTGCATTGCAAAGGGATAAATTGAAAATGGGAATTGGGAAGAATGAAAAGATGATGGAAGCCCAGAGAGAGAAGGAGTGGTAGAATGTTAACAATGCATTGAGAGAGCGATGGAGAGATTGAGAAGAGAAAGACAGGACCAGCATAGAAACAAATGGAGGAGAGAAACAGGGAGAAAGTGTGAGGCTGCTGGTGCATTGCTGCTTCATTGTTGATGCAGCGCCTGCCTCTGCACGCCCAATTTCTCACTGCTTCTCCCTCCCTCACTCCGCAGCTACACCACTCACTTAGTCTCACACCATCTTTTTAGCCCCTTTCACGTATGCACCTAAAATGTGCTGGAAAGTTTGCATGTTAGACTCATGTATGAATTAGCCCTTTCCTCACTGTTCTGTAACACCTCCCGCACAGCTCAAGTCTAAATTAAATGCCTTTGCATTAATGGAAAGGCTGCAGTATGCACATGCCTTTTTAAAAGCACTAAATGTATTAAAAGCAATATATCTGTCATTTAACTACATTTCTTTTGCACAAGGAGATAAAATCAGTGTGATAAGTGTAAAACAATATTATGATTGAGTCAGTTTAAAGTTTCAGATTCTTCAGATTCTTCTTTTTTCAGATCAATTTATTAAATGGTATGTTAGTTACATTTTTTCCTTCTCATGGTGATCAAGGGGAAAAGCCTTGAGTTTTGCAAGGTCACAACCTGACCTTGTGTCATCTTTTACCTATGCTTTTGCATGATCGAATTGTATAAAATTTGCAGCAGAATGCTTTGTCTAGCAAATGATAAAGTAATTAATGACAAAATCGTTTTTGGAAGTCTAAGCAAAAGAAAGAAACGAAGCATATTTGGCTGCACCGGCCACTGGCTAGTGCTACATCTGAACGTCAGTGAATGACTGAGTGAGTGATGAAGTTACGACATTGGTCGACCAAGTGTTGGACTTTTCCCATTGGCCATTGGTCTTTCAAAAATGATGGGTTAAAATTTTTCACAAGTCACACCCTCTACCACATCTATGGTCCAGCCATATACTAGTTTTTTACCTAGTTTTGTTGAACCATGTATATAAGTGTGTCTTTGTGTCATAAGATCTACCTCATGTAGTTTGAGCGACGTCTTGGAGGCCTGACAGGTGCAGCCGCTGTTCCAGTTATTTGTTCCACAGCCACAGTTGCCTCCGCAGCGTTTCACCAGCAGACATCGAGGGAAGAAGACGGCGTTGGTGGCCTTCAGCTCCTCGCGCAGGTTTACAGAATAGTTGCGTGGGGTACAGCTGTATCGCTTGACGTCATCATAGAGGCGGTTCAGATCAACTGGACAGTGCGAGAGAAACAGAGAGAAAATGACTCATTTAGATCAGTTTTTGTTCTATTTATGTTTATTCTTTTGGGTGTTTTTGCATTACAATTAATAGAGTTCATTTTGCAAGGCCACTTTGTATTTGGCCTGTACTGTGATCTTCTCTTACTTTTCTTTCTGTATCTGTGTTTGTTATTATGGCAACTTACTTTTTTATTGTAATACACTCCATCTGCTGCTGATGGTAACATGAAATACATCACTTCCTCGTGAGCTGGTTGTTGGAGAAGTTGCGATTGTGTTATAAAGTAAACAACAACAAAAAAAAAATATTTTTATATTTTTCTGTGGTTGTTTTTACACTGGCCTAAAATATAATGGTGTGCGGAAGGATGAGAGAGACAAAACGCCATTTTGATTTGTACAGTTATGGCTTCGTCTGTCACTTCATATAATCATAAACAGGCATATTGGAGACATAGATGAGAGAATGAAACAGAAGATGGGAGGTAAATAAGGCAAAGTGGCTGTGATTCACTCTAAAAATATGCTCGGTATTGACTGAATGAAAATGGTTGCGAGGTGGAGAGAGACCATTAGTTGTGAGAACAATTGCAACGGCAACTGACTATAGATGAACAGGTGGAGATGTGAGTGGCAGAAAGAGAGATAAAGATGCAGAAAGAGATAACACAAAGGCCAGAAGCAGAAGCAGGGGTCATTGATTGATTGTGGATTGGATGTATTGACCGCAGTCTTTTTTCATGTCATCACTTTGGGGAAAAATCTCCTTGGTTGTGCACATCGGACCTTTGTTCACTGCTTTGCAATGGTTCAAAACTCATTTCAGGAGAGTCAAAGAGATTATGGGACAAGCGGATGGTTAATAAGGGACTAAAGCACTGGTTCAAAGGGGAAAAACCAGGAGCTCCAGAAACAGGAGCTTGATTAAAATCCATCTGTGTTTCTGTATGTCTCACTAGCATTGGCATTAGAGACCACCGACTGAATGACATACTGTATATGCACATGGTTGCCCAGCACAAGGAGAGCCTGAGGTCACACTGTAGCAGGTGAGCATTTATTTTGAGGCTGCTGAGTGTTTGTAAGGCAAAGATAGATTTGTAATGTGTAATGTGCTTAAGGAAAGAACCATAACAATCATGTACAGCGTTGGTATGGATTTTCTAGGATGATGATGATAAGCATAAGTGCCAAATGAAAGAGTGAAGGAGACAGAGAATGTGTTTTCTGTGAAATAGAGAGAGCACTTTATATTTTACATATTCATACCGCTGGTGGTTTGGAGGACGAAAGAGACTGACAGTTTAAAAAAAGAAGAAAAGAGATGAGAGGAAGAATATAAAGGATGGCAAAAGAAGAGTACAAATCAATGGCAGATTGATTGGTCGTTGAAATCGTCAGCAGGATAATAATCACTGCATTGTCCATACCAAGCAGGGTGATTTCTCTTGGCCATTGGAACTTTGATTTTGCTTTGCTGTACAGTAATATACACTACTCAGTCACTCTACTGTACAACGAGGTAAAATATTTAACTCTTTACTTTAAAGAGAGGCAAAAAACTCAATGGAATGAGTTGATATAATTTGTGTGGACCAGTTTAATTTGTTGGTAGAAAAGAAAATCAGAAAAGGTTATTCATTTCAACACTAGTTCTATGAGCATGGTTGGAGTACTGTCAAGTTTTTAAGAAGTCTTGTAATGTTGTTGCCTTAGTCTATCCACCACAGTTGGCTTTAACTACTGGTAGTCGCATTGATGCATTATTTACTTAAGCCTTTGAAGACAGTGAGACACGATTTCAACTTATAAGAAGCACATGAACTATTTTGAATAATCTGCACTCCAGTTTGATTTATTTATTACATTAATATAAAGAGGTGTAAAAGGTTAAGGACAGCCCCCTAATTGGCTCCTAAAGTTTGCAGGGGACATCCTCGAGTACCATGGGGGAACCCACTGGACTATAGACTGATGCTTCACTACCTGCAGAAACCACTTTAGGAAAGGGTGACTGAACAGCCCCTCTGCAAAAACAACATGACAGGAAAAAATTGCTGATGAGTTCACCTTTATGGAAGAATGCAACTGACCCCTGTCCAAAAGAAAGTAGGGGAGAAAGCACTAAATTGATCAAACAGCAGTTGGTCAAGCTTCTAAACCCTGTAACCCTGTTTTTGGCAGTGATGGAGAAGTGAGCCTGTACACAGGGAATACTCTGCACCACAGAGGGGGACAACGGCATCGTTACCAGTCTGTAGCCATTCAGGGTCAAAACCATAAGTGGTTGAAATTGCAAATGGCTTAATGTACGGTTGCAACATCACAGCAGCAGCATAATTTCTTTGGTAGATCATGGATCCATTCTTGTCAGAATTGATATTTGCACTCCATTACAACAGTGTAGCTTGGTGCGGTGGGTCGCATTGGTTTGCTTTTGAGCTTTGCTGCAACAATATAACAATAAAGATCAGTCATACAATAGAAACCTAGAAATCCATGCCTAGAAATCACATGTACATTGTATCAGTATAATTATGACAAATCTGATTTTTTTGTGTGTGTGTGTGGGTGGGGGTGGGGGGGGGTCCAGGGAAACCTAATGGCATTGATAATCAATAAGCAATTGTTCACAAAAGGAAATCTTTGCAGTGGGGGATTCCATTCATGGCACAAATCATGTTGGAAGCCCAATGAACAATGAACAACAATGAAGAGAGAGGGAAAAGAGCAGGGGAATATGATCATTTGCTTTGGCAATACATAGCGAAAGATGAAGGTAGAAGGTGCTCCATCCATACTGACAATGCTGACTGTGGTTCCATTGTGGTGGAATTGCCCACATATTTACACAATGTGTTTTCTATTTCATGGCAAAATTACATGAAAATAAGATGAAATATAATAAGAATAAAAAAAAAAATAAAAAAAAAGGGAGCAAATGAAAGCTAGTGTATGAACATTTGTATGTGAATACATCTTACAGGCAGTTGTGTGTCCAGTAGGCTAAAGGAAAAGTGGATTATGAAAACATTTGTGAGAGAATTCACAGGTTAAATGAGGAAAAGTGATTGTATGCGTCACATTTCAAAAATGAAAAAACGAGGAGGTAATAGAGAATTTGTTGATGTTTATTTTGGATGAGTGGAGATGGCAATTGGGTGATAATCAGTTTACACCAATGCTCAGCTGAATATATTTGGGAAACTGAAAATGATGAGATTTTGCTAGGCGTTCACTTATTGTATTCAGTTTCTTCATGTTTACATCATTTAAAGAAAACACTAAGTTTTTAGAGATAGATAGATAGATAGATAGAAAAAATGTATCTTGTGCTAAACTGTCTTGTGCTAAACTATATACATATGCAGCAGTTTGTTCATTATTTACATGAGAAGATGTAGAAGTTTTAGTTATTCACCACTGACACACTAATAACTACCTAACTAACTCACTAGTCTGAGGTGTAACATCATAGAGGGCGTATTAAGTATTAAGAATCCATTTTATCATCTAGTACTACAGCATAAGCCCAGCATTCTGCTACACTACATGTACCGATGCTGACAGCCTAATGATAGAAGTCTTTTTTTCCCTGCATCTCTCGTTATGAAAAAGCAGAGGTTCCAGAAAACCCGTCATTTCTATTTTTGAGATTTTACTGAGGAGCAAAATACCTGATTTTCAGCAAGTGGTGGTTTTATAGTTTATGACAGAATTGTGACGATGTCAAGAGTCATGACAGGTCTCTCTAATGTTTGTTTACACCTCCCAAGGTGATGCAAAATGTAAAAGATGTAGTACATAAGCACACTGAGTCAACTGCTACTGTACTGGCTCTGGTGGGCACCTACAATGCTGTCTCTTAACGTTAAAATGCAGAGGAAAAACAGGTAGGTGTATTTGTGTGAATGTTTTTGTGTGAAGATGAAGGCACTTGTCATGTGTTGGTGTTTATGCTTTGAGTGTGCAGGCGTGTATATGCTGTATACGAGTGCGTATCTGTACTTTCAGTGCCAAGCCTGTGTCTGTTTAAGGGGAATAAGTGCAATCTCAGAGGAGCAGTGGTGTGGAACCCTGTCAGGGAGTGTGGGAGTGAAAAAGACAGAAAGACTGAGAGCAAGCAAGACTATGAGAATGACTGTCACTCTCATGGCCAGCAAGATGAAAAAAAAGTATAGTGTGTGAGAGAAGATTATACAATATATTCTGCTCTAAAGTTCTGTGCTTAGTATATGCTTCGTTGTCAAAGTATTATTATGATTTTATTTTAAGATATGTATGGGTGAGTCTGTCTGTTTTTGAGTTTCTTGGACTTAAAAGTGTCCCAATTAATATTAAGATCAGACTTACTGTCCTTCATGGGAACAAAGGTGGGTGTGAGCTACTGTGTGTGTGTGTGTGTGTGTGTGTGTGTGTGTGTGTCTTAATGAAAACAAAGCTGAGCTGCTGACTGTGGCAGATTTCTGCTCCGCTGCACAGGTTGAATTTCCAATTAGAGAGAGCTACACTGGTACAGTGTATCAAAGATCTGCAGCACCTTTGCACCTTGCTGTAGTGCTGCAACATCCACAAACTCCCCATATATGGAGCTGCGTCATGCCAGCCGAGCACACACATGCATTGATAAATAGAGATAGATTTGCTGTCAAGAGCAAATATTTACTAAGGAACAGGAGAGCCCTCGGGTAGAAAGACCGAGAGAGAGCAGGAGAGAGATATGGAGGCACAGGTGAGAGAGATTGGATCAAAAGTACTCAAGTCTGTTGCAAGCTTGAATACGCGCACACATCCCTGAGCACATTCTCCGCATGAATGATGTGTGTGTGTGTGTGTGTGTGTGTGTGTGTGTGTGTGTGTGTGTGTGTGTGTGTGTGTGTGTGTGTGTGTGTGTGTGTGTGTGTGTGTGTGTGTGTAATAAGTCTATGCGTGCCATATTTTCATATCTGCTCTTAGACATCCGCTCTAGCTGTACATCCTAAGGACAAAATCTATTGCCTCAGTGACTGCAGGTCGTTGGCTCTGACTTCACAGTAAAGGATTGCCTTGAACTGCTGGTCCTGTCTCACCTTAAATCTGTCAGTGACTCACTATCAGACCCCCGAGAGGGCAAACTGCTCATTTGATGATGCAACAACTTAGTCAGGCCCTGCTGTTGCATCATAATATGAGCAGGGACAACTTTTTTCCCACAATAATCTTCCTTTACTCTCCACACAGGGGAGGAAAGTGCACATATGTTTTTTCTATCTTTATATACTCCTTCCAACATGGCAAATTAAATTGTAGAGATACCTTCAACCACTAGACAACCTAATACTAGCCCTCTATCTTACTCGGCTCAGACTGTGGAGAATGTGGTTTCAATTGAATATGCAACACTTAATTAGTGGAGTTTCATTGGCTGTCACCTGTGCTATAATTGATTATAAGACAGCAATGGGGCTCCATCAAACTCATTACAGCCCTGACTAATAATTTTCTTCAAATTACTGAGCCATAGACTTTCTACTCTGCAGTGCTGTACCGCTGAGTTTTATGTATAGCCCAATATGTGAAAATGGGCCTCCTGCTGTGTGGGTCTTTCTTGGTCAGCACAAGGCTGCACGCTCTCCCCTCCCCTGTATTACACCAGCAACCATTGACTGCACCAGTCTGCAGCGAAATACTGTGAATGCAGCAGAGTTGTTGAGGATCATAATGTGCAGCACAGTAAAACAGGATGAGAACATCATTGCTCTGATCTTCCTGCATTAACTGTGCCAACGCAACATGTCACGAAAGGGTCTATACTTAAATATAATTCCAAGATCCCATATTGTGCTTATTTTTTTCATTCATTTATTAGCCATTCATTATCCTTGCGGGGGTCACCACCCTGTCACAGCGCTGACATATAGAGACAAACAACCATTGACGCCCATATTCAAACCTATGGACAATTTAGAGTTGCCAATTAACCTAACCTGCATGTCTTTGGACGGGGGGGTGGAGTACCCAGAGGAAAACCGCGCAGGCACGAGGAGAACATGCACACTCCACACAGTAAGGCTGCAGTCTTTCTGTGTGGAGTGTGCATGTGTTTCTGTGTTCAAACCCAGGACCTTCTTGCTGTGAGGAGACAGTGCTGACTACTGCTGCCTATATTTTGAAACATAGAAATAGTCAATATTTCAGTGAAATGTATCTTTATACATTCGAGTAAAAAAAGAAACATTACTTCCACATTGTTTAACATCACTGTATAAAAAATTCTTATTAAATAATTATCTGTGTGATCCAAATTATCCTTGTACCAAGAGAAATATTATAACCAAAGATGGTATTATACTTGCTGCACAATTTTCTCCCTATAATTATGGCTGATATAAAATATTTTGTATCTCTTTGAGATATTCACAGGAAATAAAAGCAACAATTTGCTTTATTTTTTTATGAATATAGTTTTAAATAACTCTATTTTGCATGAAAAGATTGTTAGTACTCCTGAACTACAGTACTGATCAATCGGCTGTCAACTATAGCTCAACCAAGCTTTTAGACACTGTAGCCTATTGTTTTAATTTTGGCACATAGCTTGCTTTTGCATACTGTACAAACAGCCACAGAAGTCTGGTTTTCATATGCATTTCTTGCTACTTGGACAGCAACTTGTGGGGCTAATTTTTTTTACATTTGTGACTATTTTAAATCTGTCACTTTTTGATTTATTTATTTATAGTTTGATAGCATCCAATGAATAGTAAATAGTGTCTGCTTCATTATTTCTACTCATGTTTTTGTTTCAGTTGTGCATTGTAAAATTGTGTTGAAATGTGTCAGCACGTACCATTTATTAGAACCAAATGAAAGTGATTGTCATACTAAAAACACAGTCATGCAAGGACATATATGTTTGCATTAGTGTTCTGCCAGCCTGTCACTGTGAGACAATAATAGATGTGTTTAAGATATAAAGTATATCTTACCTTTATTATGTCTGCTTGCCAGATGATAGGCCCTGGATCTATAATGTATGTGTGTTTGAGTATAGATGCTGTCCAGGTCCTGTCTCCAAGTGTCTGGGTTCAGAGATCTGAGAAGCTGCTCTATAGTGTCAAAGGCAGCTATGGTCCGGTCCAGATCCTCCAAGGAGAAAGGAACCTCTGTGACCGCGACCGGCATCTGCCCTACAACACTGTCCTGGAAAGAGCGAAGGTCACAAGATAAAAACAAAACGATTAATTCTATTATTATTTTAAGATTATTTTAACATCTACAAATGCTCACTTATAGCATTATTACCTAGAGCACGTTAGGGAAATCACATGTAACCATGTGCCAAAACTTCGTTGGAAATCTGTGATCACTTTATTATGTCTTCCACCATTGTTATGTAGCACAGAATGATAAGATAATCCCATTTACCCTCGTTAACACCCAGTGGACAGATCTGGTAGTGAATCAGGTGGATATACTGAATTTTTTTCATCAGGTTAGTGTATGAAATGTGGAAGCAATAAAATGTGAATGGCTACTTCTGCAGAAGAAAAATCATTTTCTGAACTTGGTGAAAACCTTGACAAATGTTCCTGGAATCTTAAAAACTGCATATATTATCGTTCAGCCTGTGGTTACTTTGTGTACCGTGGCGGGGAGGTCAGCGCTGTTTCTTTCCAAGCATTGAAAAGAAATCCAAGAATTCATGGGAAGATTTGGAAATATCAACAGATGACCTCCACACTACCCCCAAAGACAGGAAACAACCATGAACATAAAGGACACAGTCACTGTTGGTCATTCTGATTCCTCTAACACTTCAAATTTCGGACAGAGCTTTTAGTGAAATGGAAAATGTTTTGATCTAATGCAGGCAGAGTCTTCTTCCACAGTGTAGAATATTACCTATAATTCTCTTGGGTAATCTGTATTAAATCTCTCCGTATTGTGGAGCATGATCAAAACTAACTAAATTAAAATGGTGGCATTACTGTTACTGTAAATCCTCTCCACTCACCCCTCATCTATGCACTCCTACACCATGTAAATATAAGAGTAGTCTGACATTTACTATAAGTTCAGAAACCATCCTGTAACCTATACATTTTACAACACACTGTGATGCAAAGACTATACACAGTGATGCAAAGATTATACACAGTGACGCATCTCACCTTGAAAAACTGAGCTTTACTCTACTTTTGAATACAGTCATTCACTCTTTGTGTAAATGTAAACATTTAGTCTGACATATAGACATGTAAAGAAAATGAAGATAAATATGAAAGTTAAATAGGGAAATTAATACTCTTTATATGAATTAACCTCATATATACTGTTCAACATGATTTCTCTTTATATGTTATATGTTTTCTACTATACTGAAAATTGTCAGTGAAATGGGAGCGGGAAAGTATCTGCATATCACACGGATGATTCATAGATGGCCGCCGCTCCCTGCTGCTGGCTATTTATCTAGATAGGAGGCAATTGCAATCAAATTCTTGTAGCATGTAGGACTATTAAGCCTGTGACTTTAGCTGCCATAATCAGCAGCGACTTCCACTCAGGCCGAGCTACAAGGGTAAGTGATGAGAAAATGTCAGAAGCTTATGGAGGAGACTTGGATTCATTAAAGCTAACATGGGAACAGAAGTAAACCTGTGAGACTTAACATTTGCTAACATTTATTTGCGAGAGGTTAAATACAGTGACTTAAGTATAAATTAAAAATGAATCACTTTAATGTATCGCTTCGCCATGCTGTAATAATGTGATGCATATTAAATAAGTGATCACATGCCAGCTCAGCTGAATATTGAAGAAAACAGTCAAAAGCTCCATTAGATTACTTTCACCATCATCTTCATAATAAATGTACCACACTTGCTCAGTAGTGTGAAACAGTTACCAACATGAACATAATGTACAACAATCTCAAATCACTGAGAAAAAAACCAACGCAGCAGATTTGAATATAAAGTGGAAGAGGCCAACAAACCATACATGTACATCCCATCTGTAGTTGCGGTGACATAGCCATACAGACGCTCTAAAACACCCACATACATATAACCATTATTAATCCATGCAGAAAAACTGCCACGCAGCCCAGTGCACACTAATTATTATGATCACATACGTCACTGAACTCCACCGCTCATACGCGCAGACACACAAATTACACTGATTACATGCACTTATAAAAACATAAGTCTAAAGAAGCATGTCATGTTACATTTCAAGCTTCATGCATAATTAATACAGTACAGCACACACATGCATGAATATATTTTGTGTGGGTGAGAGCTGGCCTATGCAAATGGACCATATATCACAATTATTAGTTTTGCCACTTTTCCTCTGTGTGCTTAAGAACTCGCTTATATGTGGAGTGGCTATATGTGTTGAAGACGGTATGTTCCAGCTAAAAAAAATTTTAAAATATAGTCTGGAAGAATTGAATTCAAAGTTCTCAACATCAATATGTTTATAAAATAGTATAATCCCGATGATGAATGTGAATGCTTTTCTAACCTGACATTTCTTTTTCATAGTATTGTTAGGTTCATTTCTTTCTTCCATTCAGTGTGTGAAAGCAGGTCTGATTCTGCGGGAAAAAAAAGGCAAATTCTAACGGAGGTCAACCATGCCTGTTCAATTCTAATTTTGTGTTGAGTGTGCATGACTCACCATCATGGGTATAGTGATGGCTTCCCAGTTGGTGTTGGCTGCAGGTAGAGGAGAGTCATACTGCGGGGATGGAAGGCAGAAATAACCAATCAATTGATCGGTTGAGCAGACAATGTATAAGGAACCACACTGAAGAAAGAGAGCAAATGACTACACGATTTAGGTCGGACTAAACGAATCATCTTGTGTCATGGTGGTGCGACAGCTACAGTACAAGTGTATATAAGTCGTCCTGTTATGGCCAACTCATAACTCCTCAAAGCTACATTTACTCATCACAGTACTTGCACATGGGCGGGAAATGTGAATAGGGTCTGCTTAGTATGGTTAAGTTTAGGCAACTAAAACTTAAGTCAGCTCAGTATCATGGCAATGGTTAACAGTAGGTGTTGTACCATAATATCTATGCATAAACACCACAAAATCTTGGTTGTTGTGGATTTATGTACCGAAATCAAAGTGTATCAGTGGACAAATGGCTCAGAAATGCTGTTTGTGTGGATTGCACTAAAGAGGTGATGCCACCAAGATGATACTTTTCTTTAACAACATTCATACTTTACATAGACTGTACATTTATTCACACTGTAAGTTATGGTTGATGTTATGAAACTACAGAAAAACCACATGTAAATGTTGGGGAAAGATTATCAGATAGCAGCAAAGGGAAACACTTCCATGTATCACTCCAATACACTTACGTTTTGCTTTTCAGTTCAACTTTTCAAATAGTTGACTTCAGACAGCTTGTAGCATGCAGGGTGTTCACATGCACTGTAATCTTAGACTATCCAAGATATTCAGGTGTCTGCCTGTCTTAACTGATGGACTGTCATTATGTCAGTGAAATCCTTAAAGAATTTCGAGGGAAGCTGGTCACAGCATGCCTTTGTGTGTCTGTATGTGAAAGAAATCAGACTCTGGTCAAAGCACGTTTAGGTGATAAACACTCATCAGACTGACATATTTGGAACACATGCACACATTCTTTGTCTTTCCCTTTCCCTCTCCTACACACACGTACACACACACACACGCGCGCGCACACAAATGCACACACCGTCTCCTGCATCACTCTCTGTACACACACACATAAAATCTCACAGGCTATCGAATCCTTCTCCTTGAAGAGTCTTAAATACCATCTCTGGTCAATGTGGAACAGTAAATCTGTCTCAGCCACACTTCAAAGACACGGTGCCCTCACTTTGTCTCGCTGTGTAAGTGTATGTCTGTGTGTGTCTGTGAATGTAATAGAGTTGACATCAAAGCCTGTCGATGCACAAAGTTTTTTGTTTAACAGATTCTCGCATCTGGCCTTTGGATAAATGTACTCACACATAAATGAACACCCAAACCAGCTGTGAATGAGGTCAGGACGTTTCCTGTAAGTGTGTGTGTGTGTGTGTGTGTGTGTGTGTGTGTGTGTGTGTGTGTGTGGGTGTGTGTGTGTGTGTGTGTGTGTGTGTGTGTGTGTGTGTGTGTGTGTGTGTGTGTGTGTGAGAGAGAGTGACTAAAGGCATGTTTACAGATTCCTAGTCTCATTTCCTTTTAAGGTTAAATGCTTCATGTCAAGCACATCTGGGCCACTTAATAGGGTCGGAAAAAAAAGACATAAACTGAAAACGTCTCTGCATGCAGACTGTAGTCACCTGCCAGCTACAGTGCCAAACTTTTACCCTAACAGTTTTTGGACAAATGCATGATGAATTGTTGCTTTTTATTTCAGGTGTGTTTGATGTTCATACTGGTTTTATTACAATCAAAGTTAGTCATATGTACTGAACAGTAACTCATTCATTAATCAGTTTTCATCATGATTTCATCTTGCATCTGTGTGGTGAAATCAAATTCTGGTGAATGATAGGAAGTCATGCTGCACTTTGCTTATTTATCTTCTTCCAAGAACAGATAAACAAGTAGAAACAGGACAGAAATGAGGCGACTTGTACTATAATATTACAGGTGGTTAGTATTGCCGATACGTTTCACTCACTTTTTGTTAAGGAGCAGCAAAGGTCCTGTATATGGTGTAAAAAATTTAAATTCCTCTAACTTTTTTTCTCATTCATGTAATCCCCTCACTCATTTGTTGACGCAAATACATGGTGCCATTGTTATCATATTAGTCTCACATAATTATATAGATACCAATGTAGATTATGCAGATTCCAAGTAGCAATGTTAAGAAATATCATGTAAACACTTCAAATATAAAAAGTCTACAGGACATATAAAAATCTTTTCAGAGGGTTTTTGAATAGAGTTTTCAAATGATTTATAAAGCAATGTTTAGAACTAAAAGTAATATTTCAGGCAATATCGCCATATTCACTAGTTGTAAGGTAACAAATTCTTATTTACAGTAGCAGTCTAGTGGAGGGGACACCAGGGAGCTGCCCTTTTCAACCTCCATTTTGTACAGTTGGACACTGGAGCAGCTGAGGATTAAGTGTGCGGTAGATGGTGAGGAAGCCAAGAGCACTGCCCTGTCGACTTTTACCTCGCATGACCAGGTATCTCGCTTACAGCTAGAGGACGTTTAAGTTAGTAGATAAATTACATCGGCCACATTTATGTTGTCTCATCTATGTCTGAGTCAGAGCTAATTTTCAAACCAGGAAAGTGCTTCCTCTCATCTCTCCCTCTAGCACAGTTGCTAGTTTACTGTCATACTTCTGATCTTAATCTGCAGTAGGGCTGTCTCAGTATCAGATAAAAAGAATTAATGATAAAAATATGATCAAGATATCTATAACAATAATGCTATAAATCAAATTCATCTTTAATTTTATTGTGTTTTGTCTAATTTTATCCAAATGAATTGGACTCATACGAGTGTAGAAGGGTGAAGAGAGAATCTCTTACCATAACTGTATAAAAGCATACAAAAAGAACAGTTACACTTTATGGATAGTGAAACGGTAACCAGATGAGCTGGTAAACAAAAGATCCACAAGGCCTAACATCTGCCATCAGCATATGATCATATGTGTGTTATTAACACAATCAGTATTTTGTTTTTTTTTCTAAATTCTAAACTTAACCTTAAAACCAAGTCTTTATCCTCAAACAGCCCATCGAAGTGTTGAGAACCAACCAAAATATCCTCACAATGCAGAGATGTTCTCTCTAAGATGGTTTAAAACTGAAATTGGTCCTCACAAAGATAGCAATACGAGCAAAAACACACTTGCATACATACATGCATCTGTGTTTCTGGTTTCATCTGGGGTCATATTCTGTAGAATATTCATCGGTCGTTTGGGAAGCACATGTCAGATGTCTGGGTTTCTCGGAACTAACTTGAATCAGGTTCCTGGATCAATAGTGTTTTCCCAACTGCACCTGGCTTCACAGCACTTCCCAGGAATACCCCCCCCCCCCCCCCCCCCACACACACACACACACACACACACACACACAATACTGTTACTTGTATGATCTCAGACAACAAAATCAATATTGGCAGAAAAGACACAAAACTAAGAAACAAAAATGAAAATCTGAGGTTCTGAAGTCTTACAAAGAGAAACTTAAAGCTGCGTCTGTTCACGATAAATATAATCAGGCTGTTTTGTGCACCTCGAGTTTCTTTTGAGCCTTTATAAAGAAATAGCTCTTAAAATTTTTATCTTATGCAATCAAAAGAACTCATTACTCCATGTAAGCTTGTGCTGCAGATGACGAATCACACCCGCTGAAAACCAGATTTGAAAAGGATCAAAGAGGAATGATTTGGGAGAAAAACAGTGACATGAATAATGAGTAAGGTCTCTGTTTGACTAGAGTGTTGCCTGCAGGTGGTGAGCTTTTGTTTGTTTTTGGAGAGGCGAGCAGTTTCAATCATATATCAGACATAAAGGTCAATTTAGGTCCCAGTCTGCGGAAACCTACCCAAACTTGAAGTGCATAAAAGAATTTCTTATGCATGTCAAGAGACCTGATCTAAAATGGACCCAAGATAATGAGACCTGATGTGAAATGTGGCTGACGTGATGAGACCCTATTCACGGTTGTCATTTCTCATACAGTACATGAATAAAATCCAGATGCACTTTTGTTTACACTTATCCACAGATCACATCAGAAAGTTCCTAAAGCTGTTTGTTGTTGGCCACAAATCACCAGCAGAAGAGTAAATGGGCACTTGAGAAGTAAAGTTGCAGAAGTAACAGTTTAGCAGCTACCTAAAAATTGTGCAGAACCTAACACAAACATGGATAAGTTGCACTGAAGGACTTATGATTCACTTATCTTTGGATCAGATAAATGCTACAACTGCTTTTTACACCTTCTGTATTCCTGTACATGTTAAAATCTTTAGAGCCACTTTTTTCATTAAGCTTAATGCGATGAAGTGAAAGAAGGCTTTAGTGTAAGAGGCGGCTTCCACAGACTGCTTGCTGTCTTTACACTTGGGAAGTGTACTTATTATGTATGCATCTTGGAGAGATATTTACACCCTCTCAAAATCAAATTCTTGAGACCTGCTATATACACCAACACTGCAGCAGCATGATGCTCCTCTAATTAACAGGCAGCCATTCATGGTCATTGAACTGAAAAAAACCCAGTCCAGACCTGATAAGATTTTATGTAATTTGGACCTGGCTCGACTTTGTCGTGGGTCAGGTTTTGGTTACTCGGAACCTGGAGTTGCTGTGAGGAGCTGTAGCGTTGACTGGATCTGACCAATGACTGGAGCCACAAACGACTGACGTCATGACGCAGCAACGACAGTGATATTGAAGAAAAAACATTTGTTATAATGAACTTAAGCCACTTAGAAAATCTAAAAAACCAATGTGTTGCATATGCATATTGATGTTAACATCATCGATTATGGCGACTAATTGCGACAGCTCTTGGGGTAAAACACAAACACACAGGCTTGGAACATGGCAGGGGCTTTGTTTCAGTCTTTTTTTCCCCAGTATGATTCCATCGGACTCCTTTTCTCTCTATTACACTGACGCTGGTTTACTTTCCCTCCTGGTTTTACTTTTATCTAGTCCACCTCCGTCCACTCTATATCTCCCTGACTCACAAATACCTCTCTCCCTCTCTCTCCCTCTCTCTCCCTCTCTCAGTTCAGGTTGTTTTAGTCATTAGCTGACATGCTGATATCATCTCAGACACCTGTTCTCTCCTTCCAGTGCTGTTTCTCCTCATTCCCGCTCTGCCTTTCGCTGTCTCTCTCTTACTCCCTTCCTCTCTCTGCTTCTTTTCCTCCTCCCTCTTATCTGTTCGACAGGTCTGGAGAGAACAAATTAGACCTGCTAAATTAAGCCACACACACAGCTCCAGTTTAGCTGAAGGGAAGGTGTGTGTGTGTGTGTGTGTGTGTGTGTGTGTGTGTGTGTAAAAGATGGAAAGACAAACACACTCAAACACAGGAGCTCTTTGAAAAATGGGTAAAACTGATCAAATAAGATAAGCCTCAAGAGTTGGATTCTGTTTTAAATGTACATAAGAGTGATTATTTGACCAGAAGAGAAATCACAAAGGACAGGAGGGAGGGAAGACAGAGAGAAGCAGCGGGAGTGTCTGAGAAAGAGAGATAAGGCAGTTGTTTGGGGTTTTTGCATTGATGAAAAGTAATGAGGTTCATTAAGTCAACTACCATATTTTGAGGTGCTTTTACTTTGTCAACATGTTGGATTGAACATGGTGAACCTGCTCTCTAGTATTTTCAGTTGAGGTAATTAAGGGCTCATTTTACTCAAACATAGGCTACAGTGTCAGGCCGAGTCCTCTGTTTCCTTCTGTGCAACATGTTTTATATTGTCTTTGCAACCTAGAACACTTGGGTTTGTTGTGGTGTGGGGCTTTGTGGTCATCTGCATTTCTGCAACCTTCTCCATTTTATTGGCATTTAATAGAGATGCCACTGCAATCCTGGTGTCTGGACATCAATAAGAAACTGAATAACTTATGGTGATTTTTATTTGTTATTTGATGTTTAGTGTGACTTCAAATGCTTTGTACAGTACTTCACATGTATATGTACGTATTGTATTTCCTCAAATAGTGACCAGGGCCTTTTTTTTTTTTTACCTCAACTGCAAAAGGTAACATGGCTTCATTTGAAGTAGACTTGTATTAGAGACAGGCCTTTATTTCTAATTCCCTCTGTTTCATAAGTGTAATTGGTCATATTTTAGTACAAAGCCTCGGCTTGATCCAGTCCATTCTCCCTGTTAAAGTTACTGCATTACGCTGTTAATACAAACTCAACGTTTTCTGTAACCTGTTCAAATTAGAAGCTCTGCAGTGTTGTATTGGTCAAAAACCCTTCATTACTTAACAGAGCTTTTATGAAACATTTGCAGGCATACCTTATGCGACAACAGAATTAAAGGACAGCATTGCAAAGTGGATCAGAATGAATGATTCATATGCCACCAAAGTGTTGAAAATAGCATTATTATATTGTTGAATCTATTAGATTAAAGCAGTAGAAATGTGCATATGCACGTTATACAACAGGCACTAGGAGTTTATCCAATCTTGTTTTTTCCCTGGCCTATATTTGGGGGCTGGCCTTTACTTGTTTGTAAGTGACACATGAATGCATCAATAATAATAATTCAGTATTATAATATATATATATATATAGCACTCTGAGAGTTGTCATTGTGCATTGTGAGTACTTTTACTTTTGCTGATGATCCTTGTTTCGTTTTAATACTTGCATAATTGCCTGTGTAGCTTAAGTCTGAAACGCAGTGTCTCAGTGGAATTACTGTTCAGAAACTGGTAAAAACACATCAGTGAGTCACACCATTGAACGGGGTGATGTCACTTCATTACAATGAAGTTAGAGTCTGTCCCTTGTACTCCGCCCTACTGACGCTAAAACTAGCTAGGATACCAAATGTGTATTAATCCACGGCTAAAAATAGTCCCCATCAAATGCACTACTTTCTCCGGTTTGAACGACATTTCCTAAAAACTACAGTGCCCAGCTGTTTTAGGAAATGACTGGGCCCTTTTTAAAAAAAATGAAACTATTTTAATGAGCTTCGAGGCAATGAGCTTTGGGCTGAGTAGCACAGAGATAGATAGGGAAGTTAGAAAGTACTGACTGATACATTATTAGTTGGTCTTGGTCTTTGTTGTCAATAAGTAACACAAAGAATAATGATAGACTTATCCTTAAAAAAAAATCTCAGCTGTAATATCCAAATGACTATGAAAGTGAAAGACTGTCTGCATATACAGTCACTCTCTCTCTGTGTCTCTGTCACTGTCTTGCCCTTTACTTCATCTTTGCTCATACCACTTTTTTTCTCAGATAATAAGCGATGCCACCAGTTCAACCTCGTCTATGATGCTGTGTCTCTTCCCCTCTCTCTCTTCTGTACTCATGAAAGAAGAAGCCAGGGAACATCTTTAAATGCCTCTTTCTCTCTCCGCTGCTCTCTCTCTTCCCCTTTCCCCTCTGATTATAGGGCGGGAGAACATCTTCAAATCAGATTCCCTCTTTTTCTTCTTTCCTCATCCTGACAGAATGACAAAGCTTATCTCCTTATCCGTTCATTTGACAGCTTTTAGGAGAACACTTTCTCATCTTCCCTCCCTCCCTTTTCCCCCATCCCTCCATCTCTCCTCTACTGTCGAGTGGACATGAGAGAAAGAACAGTTGGCTAATCCATTTTGGCATTTTAACGACCATGTTACTGGATCCTTCTCTCCCTTCCTTGTCCCATCTATTTATCTCCCCATCATACCATCTCTCTCCTTTATTGTCAAGTGGAGGAAAAATAGTGAGAGAAGCAGTTTACCTGACGCGTCACAGAGGTACTTGGGCTGAACCTCATGTGAAAAAAAAACTTAAAGCTATGTCCCAAATAACAGCTCATGATTCATCGTCAAGTGAGTGTGTATGTGTGTAAGTGTACGTCTCTCACCAGCAGTGAATAGTAGATTTTGAATCCCGGCTTTGCAACAAAGTAATCATCAGACTTGAAGGTGACTCTGAGCGTGTTGGTTTTGGAGTTGAGACTAGGTGGAGCTTTCTGCCCACACCAGCGACCCCAAATTATAGTGCTGGTCTCTGATTGGTCCTCCACTTCCACAAAGTCATACCTGGAGCGAGAAAGAAAAGGAGAGGTAGATGAATGCGTGGGAGGGAAGAAGGGGAGAAGGTTAGAGGATGAAAGAAACTTTTTTTGTACATCTCTGATACGCCTTAGCACAGTCTAGATTAGTTTATGGATCTTCGGATCTTGTCATCAAACTTGTGATGAGACAACTCTATGATGTCTTCTCAAACCACCAGGCCGTCCTGCCAAAGTAGTTGACAACAAGACTTTTTGGGGGAAAAGTTTTCAAATAACTTTGACTAAACGTTCCAGCAATCAATGCCCCTGTCAATAAATGAGTCCATTTATCAAACACACACAGAAATACACACACAGTCAATGTTACAAACAAGATTTTTAAAAGCCGGCAAAGCTCCTTTCTCCCTCTTCCTACCTTGCCACATCTCCCCTCCCTCTCTTTTCCCCCTGCTGCTCCCCCTTGTCTTTTCAGCAAAGTGCTTACAAAGACGACTGAGTTGCATATGGGGATTAAAAAGTCTATTTTCTCCCCTCAACCCTCAAGGACAAACTTCTTATACTTCTTGCCAAGAAAGCAAACTTTAACTATCCATCCCTCTCATCGTGATCCCCCCACCCCCATACCTTTTTATGTTCTTTTCTCTCACATCCTTTCGATCACATTTTATTGTTGGTGTGAGAATGTGCATACATTATCAAATCATTTTCACGTTTTACTGTAGCTGTTGTACATCCTTCCAACTTGAGAGTTTTACTCACTAAACTTTTCCTCTCCTCTTTGTCACTCGAAACCATCTCTCCAGCATTCCTTCTCTCACTACCTGGTTATTTAATCGCTCATACTTTCATCTGACCTTTCTCCTTTATAGCTGCTTGTAACTCATCAGTGCTTCCTCCCCTTTGTGCTCTGTACCTCTATCCTTCTTTGCTCCTTTCAGGTATTATCTTTCTCTCCTTTTGTCATTTTTTGCTAAAGACATTTATGTCATCCTGCTTCCTTCTTTCATTCCGTCTTCTGCTCTAAACCTCTCCTGAATTTCTCTGCCCTCTCCATCTGTATTTTATTCTGTTTCTTTGCATCCCATGTTTTACCTGCACACTCCATTCTCAGCCTCCTCCAGGCCGAAGTGTCCGTCAAACTCCAGGTGAATGCGGCTCCCTGGCGGTGACAGCAGTTTCCATGACAACAGCAGGTTGCGGGGGTAAGCGTTAGGGTAGCGTGGGCTGTTGATGACTCCGCCCGCTGGTGTTACTGTGATGTTTTCGTCTTTGCGGTACAAGTCTGTGGTGAGGCGATTGCTGTCTGTTAGTGGTTACAACTAATCAGTTAGTTAGTCCAGCTCTAAATTAAAACAAGTAAAGCAGCTTGTTCACAGGGACGTGCACACAAAATGTAAATTACATGCAAAAACAACAAATAGATCTCTGTGGATATTGGCACAGGTAGACACATTTGTTGAGACAGACAGAAGCACAAACAGAGACAAACAATACAAATATTAATCTGACATTTCTATCTAATGACTGACTGACAGTCTCATATCTGTCCCCCCAGTGTTAACTTTCAGCCATCATCTGGTAAGCTTAGGTTAGCTTAAAGACCGGACAAGGCGGAGAAGAGGTAGCCTGGCTCTGTCCACACAAGAACAAAATCCACCTTCATTGCAGCTCTGGGTGTTAGCTTTTACACTGGAGATATAACATGGTAATTATTGATCTTTAAGGTTGTTGGTAAGACTATTCAGACGGAGCTGTGTCCCCCTGTTTCCACTTTTTATGCTAAGCTAACTGCCTGCTGGCTTCATATTTAACAAACAGTGGTATAAATACTCTCATCTCTTGACCATACAGTGAATAAGGTCATTCCCAAAATGTCCAATTATTTCTGTTATAGCCTGATCGATACTGGACTATGATATTGATATTTGGAGTAAAAAAAACAAAACAAAAACCATATATTTTATCCAATAACGATTTTTTTTAACATATCATAAACAATCAATCTGACTATAGATCCCTTAGATTTGTTTTAATTTGTTTCTAATTGTGACCAAAGTAAGATAAGATGTACCTTTATTAATCCCCCGTAGAGGAAATTCAAATTAACAGCAGCACAAGGGAAAAAATAATATAATATATAAAGAAATCAAATAAGAATAGAAACAAAATCTAGAATAAACAAGATAAAGCAGAAATACTATATACAATAACATACAAATGCAAGTAGGCAGGTCTGTACATGTGCAAATATAAAAATACATAGAGTTTAGTGATTGTAGCAGTTTGTCTGGGTTCTATTGTTATATACAGATTTGAGTCCTTAGACTGTGGGTGCTGTGGCTTTTTGTAGTCTGATGGCTGATTGGACAAAGGAGCCACCCAGCCGCTTGGAGGTACGTGGCTGGATGAGTCTGTGACTGAACGTGCTTCTACATACTGCATACTAAGTGGGACATTTTACAGTTGAAAACATGTTGGTGCTTTCAGCTAGACAAATTATGTAACAGGGACACTGTTTCTAAATTACTCCAAACCCAGTTCAATGTGTCTGGACTGCCGTTTCTTGTCATTATCAGCTAACATATGCACCGATACAGATATCAGCAATAAGATAATAATGGCCAGTGCAACAGCTTTCTACAGTGTTCTTTCTGTTGTGGTTTGCACAAACATATTGTGAAAAGAAGACATCCGAAGTACAGGATAACTGAGAAAAGAGTCAGATGGCTCATCTTTAAAATTATTCTGTAGAGGTGAGAAATCCAATTTTAACAAATGCCTGGTTGTGGATCTGTTTAACACATATGGATATGTTCATATATCTTTCCTTGTTGCAAAGTGCACGTCTGACCTTTTCACACCCATCAGATTTTAATATTTCTGTACAAGTTGAAAATTTGGCCTGACAGTGCTTCGAGGGAATAGGTCAAGGGGTCAACAAAAATATTCAGATTAACTCTGTGAAGGTCATGAATATTGACAGCAGACAGGAAAAGTGGCCATGGACCAAAATGTAGGTCAAAAGGAAATTTTGACCTAATAGTTAAGGGGTTCACCAAAAACATTAGAAATCATTCTCTGGTGACCAAGAATCACACCCAGTTTTATAGCAGCTTATAGCAACTATGGTTGCACAAATTTACAGTCTGGGCTAAAAACTGTTGCAGGAATATATATACTTTGTTCTTGTCTGAATACATAGATGCACAGAATAAAACACACACACACACACACGTGCACACATATCTACTGATAATAAAAGAAAAAGAATAATATTAGAACTAAAAGCTGTCATGAGCTCTGATTATTAGCTTCATTGCTTCACTGAGTAGTTCTATAAATAATAACGGTACTCTCCAAAGTATAACAATCGCTCTTATCAGCACTGATGAACATCATATTCACACCCACTGAACATCTAATCCTATTATATCAATCATATATATAAAAATTATATTATATTTTAAAATTTGCACAAAACAACTCATTACACACACAGACACACACACACACACACACACACACACACACACACACACACACACACACACAAACACACACACAAACACTGTAAGGTCAGGCACTGTGCTGAAGTAGGCTGACAGGGCTATATTTTCTAAGGGGTGTGTATTTTTTGCAAGAGAGCTGAATGTTTAATCAAGGCACCATAGCCTGCACCCCAGGGAGATGATGATGAAGCTTTGGCCTTCTCCTCCACCTCTTCACTGCAAACTTCCCCTAATTCCCCATCCTATCTCACATCCCATCTCTTTACGTCCCTCCTCTCTGCTTCGGTCAGTAATTCTATCTCATCGGTCATCCCGCGTTCTTTGGCAGTCTCACCTTCTGCTAGTTCTGCCTTCAGCAATTAAGACTGTACCTCAGATTGTGTGTGTGTGTGTGTGTATGCATTTATGTGTGTGACAGTGTGTGTGCTCTCAGTTATGAGCATTTATGCTTGTGTGAATGTATCTGCGTGTGTGCGCGTGGGTGTTTGTGTGTGCGAAGGGGGCAGAGTTTGTTTGTAATGGGATTCTTCCACTCTGCTGATCAGAGGCCTGACTGTGTAGGTCCATTCAGTCGTAAAAGTGCTTATGTGTCAGGAACTTTCACCTACTAAGGTGCCTTGGGATCAGAGCTGTGTGTGTGTGTGTGTGTATGAGCTTGTGTGTCTATCAGTATTGCACATGAGGAAAACTGTGTTTATTAGTATGTGATCATTATCATTTCTATATATCACCAGAATGCAGCAGAATAGCTTGTTGCATCCAACGTGTTTACTCCAGTGGACGGAGATCTTAGCAGACTGAAGGTACATCTTTCAGTTATTTTACCTGACTCTTATGGAAGCCAGCACTGGCTTCACATCCAACTCCAATCCTCCTCTTGAATCACTCGTCTCCTTTTAATTTGGTTTGATCTCTTAGTATTTGCCGATGTTTTGCCTATTTTAATGTTTTCTCTTAAATAGTGAAAACTCATTTATCCAACTGGAAAAAGGACCCACTCAACATCTCTTGCATTTGTTTGCTCTAGCGAAGTTTCATGGCCATGTAGGTTAAATCTTTCCAAAAAGCTATGGTTTTAATTGTTGATCGGAAATATGATAAACCTACCTACTGCATGTTTAGCCAATCAAGGGCTACGATGAACCTACAGCTGAAGTTGTTCATTGGCACACAAAAATTGTGTCTGGTAGACATTAGTTTTAGAGACAAGACATTTTCTAAAGAAAGGGTATTCATTGTGCAAAACAATAACAGTCTACTTCTACTCTATTTTGTGTGTGTGTGTATGTATGTTTGCATGTTTGAACATATGTGTGTACTATCTCTAAGTATATGCATGAATGTGCATTTATTGTAACATGAATTAGCATTTATGTGCCCACCCAAGCTGCTCTGTGTGCGAACGAGGAGTGTGTGAGAGACAGAAAGCATTTAGACGAAGGAAGACATTAAAATGAGAAAATATGCAAATATGCTCGAGTACCACCCGGCTCTTTTGGATGCTGCTCCTCAGTCACACCATTGACCTTACCATAAATCTTGCAGTGATGTCAGTGACTCCATTGCAAATTCATGCAAATGAGGCAATGATAAGAAAAGGGGTTTCTGTTAAAGATCCAGTCCAGAGAATTGACAGCGCTGGAAACTGCCAGCTACATTTCGTCAACCTGCTTTGCAAATGCATGTAAGGCTATGGTTTTGCGTTAAAGGCTAAAATGGAATCAGGGCAGAGCAGGATCCTAAGGAAGCTAACATATATGTGGTGGCACAGTGGGATATGCTTTGCAGTCCAGAAACACTAGGACATTAGCTCTTGAGTACAGCACAGTGCACTTGAAGTGAAACAGTGACTATGCTGACTTTTAGTTTTAACAGTGTTAAAAAAAAAAAAATCACATTTATTGTGGGTCACTTCAGGTAATCACTGACTGCAAGGAAATATTAAATATGGTGACTTTATTTATATTTATTTTAATGTGTTCAATATGTAATAGATCCCTAGAATTAGGGGACTAATGGGTTAAAAAACCTACACTTTATCACACTATCTGATCTGTATGTGTATACTCTGAAAGTCAGCACTCTAACATCATACTTCAGTCTCATAGTCAACTTAATATGCTGTATATAGCAAATATTACTGCTCATATTATATCATTGCAGGGTGGACAAAATAAAATAAAATAAACTTGGCTGTTATCAGTGGGCTTAAACATGCATGTAAGGACAAGTTTTTCCAGATCGTCCTCAAATATGGCAACAAATACAGTCTCTCTCTCGCTCCAACTCTCTCCTTCTTTCTCTTTTCATCTCTCTTTGAAACCGTTTTGTCTCTTTTGTTCAGTTAAATTCTTTATCCACATCTGATCTCTAAATTATAACTGCTGGTCTGTTGCCTGATATTCCAGCATCTGTTTTGTATCTTTGACTATGGGGAATAATTTAATCTCCCCCGGTTGTTATAATTTCAACTCTGCCTCTTGCTGGTTTTTAGGTCTTTTATTACGAAATAGTTGAAACTATATTTGTATTTCTTTAGCAAGGACGGAAGGACTATGTAGCCTACATGCATCTTTAAAGGTGCTTTATAAGTTTTGTCTACCAATGGACGTTGTTTCTCACCAGGAGTGGGTGGTGGTAGTGATAGTGGTCGCTTGCCAGGAGCTTCAGTCATAGTTTGATTTACAAGACAAGAGGTTAGAATATGCTCTGATCAGTGCCGCTTCTTCATCTTCATCTCATGTTGGACTGGATGCTACAGTGACTCACTATCACAAAGTTATATTACAAATCG